CCAGCACTACATCTACCTATATGTCTACCTTCTGCCCCAGCACTACATCTACCTATATGTCTACCTTCTGCCCCAGCACTACATCTACCTATATGTCTACCTCCTGCCCCAGCACTGCATCTATATACCTATATGTCACATAATTCGTGTTTATCAGGCAGTCGCGTTAATAGACTCTCGTTTAATTGTGCCGGTATCACCTGAAGCTGTGATGCCTGCTCATCACTGATTGGATATTCATAATAATGAGGTCATTTCGTTATTTGATTATATCCTTCCTAATAAAACCTCCACCCTGATCAGTAGATAATAAGGAAATTATAATGATATTAAAGTTGTTCTTCACCTACATAATGTACATAACAAACATAACAGTTTTCCCAATGAGATGAGAGTTGCGAATAGCTCCGACGGCGGTCACTATAGCTGGTCAACCCGCATGAAATTAGGCTTTAATATAGGAATTTTTATGTAAGGTTAAATTTTTGTAGACTTTAGCCGGATACATTAATTTTACATTTACAAATGACCACAAGTCATTTACGCTGCAAGTATTTGAACAGGACGTGTCTATTTTACTTGTCGTTGACTGTTGCAACTGTGAAATTGACAAAACTTATTCAACATAATTAATCTTCATTACATTTCTACGCGAGAAACGTCGAGTCTCTGATGAAACTGAGGCTTCAGCACATAAGCATCGACAGGCTACAAGAAATGAACGCGAGGGATGACCGTAGTACCCATTTATAATTAGTCGTTAGAAAGAAATTAAAGCATTGTAATCGCTTTCCTTATAATCACAAAATTCGTCGAGCATGACCATAATAAAATTAAATTCAAAGCGTAAAAAAATTAAAGGAATTATAGAGCAGTACACACGAACGAAAAATTAGGGAAACGGGGAGAAATTGAAAGGAATAATTAGCGACAGAACTTAGACCGATTATAATAGAATTCCTGCTGCTCCGGTTCATGAATAGAATAGAATAGCAGCGTCGGAGTTGAAGAAATAGGCCCATGGCCTGTTGCCGATTCTTGAACTTTTCGTGACTTGATTCACAAGGGATCCGGCCTTTGGAACCCGATCTTGCTATAAGGGCGATAGTTGCCCGGGCAGCTTTTGTCACCTTTTTTGAACAATGGTGTCACTTGAGCTTCTTTCCAGTCAGCCGGCAACATTCCTTCGTTCAAAGTTTTTCGAAAAAGTGACGTCAGAGGGCCGGCTAGGACAGTTGCTAAGTCTTTGAGTAATCTGGGGTGGAAGCCGCCTGGTCCACATGACTTGTTTGGATTTACAGCGATAAGGCGCCTGAGAACCTCTTCTTCTTGTATTTCAAAGCTTGTTAATTTAGAGCCGACTGGGCGCTCCTCTGCATTGCAGAGGAAGAATTGCATTACCGGCAAGCATTGAACTATAAAGAAATTATTATTCTGAAAATAGTGCAAGAAAGTGTGAACAATTGTACGATATATTTATTCGTATTTATTTATTCGTATCTGCAAAAATGTGCATATTGTAGTGAATCGCAGTTGTAGAATTTAGTAAATGCGGTCACTACGTTAAAATTTTTATTTTAGTTCAAATGTAGGTTTTATCAGCCTTCTTAACCAACATACTGTAGGCCCTTTGCATTCTACGGCACTGAAACGACCGCAAAATTTTGATCTGCAACAACTTGACCGAAGGCGTTCAACGTTTAGTGAATATGAGATCGTACATATTTCTTTCTGCAGCGGCAGGTATCTAAAATGCTTTTCGAAAATAAGCGTAGTTCAAAGGGAGCAATCATTGAAATTGGAATTCATAAGATTTCCCATATAAAAGTGAGGTCAATAAGGCAAATGTGGAAATTATTCAGGAAGATGGATGGAGGAAGGTACTTGAACATTACTGATCTCCAAATCTGCACGACTCCATGTTTTTTCTGCCTTTAAATTTAAATTAAATTGTCCACATTATGAGAGTAAACTCGATAGAAGCTCGAAAGCCCTAGCTGGGGGTAATGTTTGTCGTGGATCTGTGCTTGGTGGATCAAATAATATCCTCAACAAGAATTTTTGAATGACAAAGAAAAATTAATTTAGGTTTGATAGATGTTCTTAAACAAGCTTCTTTTCCAAGGATTTTGAGGAAAAAAATTTCCCTAATTTAACTTGTGAACGAAAAGAAAGGCAGGTATCGCCGTTGATATCAATGCTTCACTGCGCGTTTTGGACCTTGCAGCTTATTACTGACGAATAAAATTATAGATCTTAATATGACGATTGTTGCGTATCGTCCATACTACTTATCTGAAACGACTAATTTCTCTTACGACGCATATAGTCTCCGTAGCGACGGTACGGCTACCACAATACGGCCGCTATAAGAGCAAGGGCGGCCATAATTAGGATGGGTATACGGTCGTTACTCGACAACCGTATCACACTACGGTTGTTATTCGAATGGAAAATAGGAAGGAGAGTGGTGGAAAATACTCTAGTATACACATCACTTTCATATATACGTCTGACATATTCATCGACAACTCTACGGCATTACATTGCATTTTCTCATAAATTCAATCCAATTTCAGAGATTGGATCGAATTATGAAAGACAGATAGTGGTATAGATGTCAAATTCGGAAACTGTTCACGTGTCCCAGTTTTTACATCACAACTTTTTTTGGGCTTGGGCGAGTTTTCCTCCCTATGATAATATAGAAAGAAAAATCAACCTAAATATACCGAAAATCCAGGGAGCAAACGATGTACTTGCAATGCGCATCTGTATATTAATAATGCCTATTCGGAATTATCGATAGATTTTGGTTTGAAAGTTATCGAAGGAATTTTCATTGGCCATCGATATCCGTCTTTCATTCACTATTTGATAGAAATTATTATACCTACGAATTAAACACCATTAATTTTTAATTATCACCATTATCAGATTAATCACCAGTATCAGATTATTCACCAATATCAGATTATTCACCAATATCTGATTAATCACCAGTATCAGATTAATCACACTATCAGATTAATCACCAGTATCAGATTAATCACCACCATCAGATTAATCACCAGTATCAATATAATAACCAGTTTCAGATTAATCACCATAATAATGGTAATCACCAGCATCAGAATAATCACCAATATCTTATTAATCACCAGTTAAGTCCACAGGAACGCACAGGCCAGTAAAAATTAACTATGCAATGAACAGGTAATGCTATCATGTAACTCCGACAGGTGAAGCGACTGGACCTCCGACACTGGCCACAGACACACGAATAATGGCCGGCAAAGAGATCCGGAGTTCGCTATCTGCTATTCTAGTGGTTGATGCTAAAAAATAAATCTTGAATTATATATTTTATCTTAAAAGTTAATGAACTTCGGCTACAATATTCCAACAATATCTTAGAACCGGTGAATTGGTCAGTGCTGCCGCCTGCCGGTGAGAAATTCACCTCGACATCTTCCACTGGAAGCACCTGCGACGGCAGATAAAAAGCTTCCAGCCATGGCCTGGAGTGTCATTTCGGTCGGGCGCTCAGAGAGGCAACCTTTGCAGGTGAGCATAGCAAGATGAATTAATTTTATTTAATTATACTACACAAGTGAGAATCTTGAGCATATAGGCTGTTACTTGACGACCTGATATAGATGATCAAGGAATTTCCCAAGCATTTTAGAACGAAGCGCGAATGTTATAAAACAGCAAACAGATCTTTCTAATATTTTTTTCAATGAACAATCTTCTCAAAACGATGGCAATCATTTGCATGTCTCATAATTTGTAATATCTGTGATTAGTAATAAAAAATAGCATCATCATCAATGTAATAAAACATCATCAAGTACGGTGAAGACGCTGCACGACCACGACACCGAAAACTCACAATAATAAAAATACCTATGTGATTATAGCATATTGACTAGTCTTCTTTGTATCATGAAATGTTACCCACAAACATGAGACTTCAGATCATGTAATCATGAAAGACATCACTGTTTTTTTATGGTTTCCGAAGGAATAGGGTTTGCCATCAGTTAGCAATGGTCTTCAAAGGAATGTAAGTAAATAATCGAAATTTAAATAATGCCAAACCACGACAGAATGCATCTCACACTTTCTTCTTCGCAGGAATTTCGGTAACAAGAAGAAGCAAAGCCAGGCGAGCGTCGGAGCCGCCGTCATGAAGTCCATTATATTTGGTCTTTTGCTCTGCCTCGTCGCCGCGCGAGTGCCGATCAATCAACGCTACGCAAGTCAGGTAAAGTTATTCGAGGTTATGAATCAAAATACTATATTGAAATGGTTTATAACCAAAATTTCAATGTAGAACAATTTATTATTCAATTTATACTGATTATTATTTTGAAAGAAAATTAGCAATATAGCGTACCATATCGTTCAGTTTAGACAGAAACTCTAGGTTTTAAAATATTGAGTAAATATTTTTGAAACACAAGCTATTTGCTCGAATATAACGCTACTAATAATGCAAGTGATTACGAATTTTACTTGACAATTTTTTTCGTGATGAATTGTCACCTAAAAAATAGTTCATAACAAATGAACGAAAATTGAATTTTCTTAACAGATTCAAGAGAAAAAAGGAAAAACTTGGAATATTGAGGACAACATTACAGAACACGCAAAAAATAATCAAATGCAACAAGAGTAAGTGAAATCAAATTGAAAATTTAATATAAGAGAACCAATTTCAAAATATTTAGTTCGTACATGCCAGATTTACGTGTATGTTATGTTAGAATTGCGTGATGACATGCCATAATTACGTGCATATATGACATGCCAGAATTACTAGATAACATACCATAATTGCGTTATGACATGCCAGAATTACTTGATGACATGCCATAATTACGTGCATGACATGCCAGANAATTACGTGCATGACATGCCAGAATTACGTGCATGACATGCCATAATTACGTGCATGACATGTCAGAATTACGTGCATGACATGCCAGAATTACATGCAGAAAAATATTCAGCAGGTGATTATCATATTCCTTCATTATCAATCGCGAGGTTTTAGCCGAAAATCGTATTTTTGAGAATATATATTAGATTTGACCATTCTAGATATAGTTCATTATTAAATCAGATTGTATAAGATATAATATTATTTCAGATATTATAGGTTAAAGCTGACATTTAATTAATTTAATTAACTGTAATTTAATGTACAAAATTATAAAGCTATTGAGTTGAGAAGTTTCAGTATTTTAAACATGACATCAGAAACAATTAATTCTATCTTAGACCAGCCATTTTATTTTGAATACATATGATAAGTTTTCCGAACGAGGTTTAAAACTATTTCTTTACATTGCCTTCAATATACCACTAATGATGTATGGTTCAGGCATCAATAACTGTTTGAAATACGATTGTGTTAATTTCAAAAATGCATTCCTAATCCATGCAAGGATTATCAACATTAAAGCGTTCATTTTTATCTTCGACAGAATATATCAGGACAACACAACGATATGTGTCATCGCTAACGATTTCTGCACAGACGTCGACGCTTCTGGGTGCATGACGTGTGACAATAAACCCCTCCAGAAGTACTGTGCTACGTGTCTTGCTCCCGATCGTAACGAGACGGTGCAAATGATGATGTTCACAGACGATCGTAACGAGGCGATCGTAATAACGGTCTATGTACATTTGCTTTGCCTGACATGTCCGACTACCACTACCCTTAGCAATAACACCACTTCCACCTTCACCAGCCCAACCACCGCCACCAACCCAACCACCACCGCCAGTACTACACCGTCCACCAGCACATCCACTACTCCGAGCACTACATCTACCCCACCAACGCCCAAGTTGAAGCTGGGGGCAACCAACACAGGCACCTGTCACGTGGCTGTAACTGCGTTCTACGCCAATGTTACTAGTCCGAACTATCCTCGTGACCATCCTCCTAACACCCACTGCGTCATTGCGCTATATTCGGTAAATAATTTATCACTTTGGAAAGCATACACATTAATGTAGCCACCATTTTCTAACCGAGAGATCAGAATTGAAATTGAGAGGACTTCACAAATCCAGGTATCTTTTGTAGCACTGACGGGGTTACATTTTCCAGAGATGCGAATGCATAACGACTGGTGTTATTCTGTGCTCAAATTAGTCCAGAATACAGATGTAGTAAACGGGTGAGGATAATTTCATGAATTTTCACCAAATTGTTGCCCAAAACTTATTGTTCAAATTAATCACAACACTTAGATATTCATTTCAATACTTTAGTGGACCAATCAGCGCAATTTATTAAACACTCTTTCATGCATACCTTGTCACATTTACTGAAAAATATCTAAGGTTTTTTTTCTGGACGAGAAATGAAAATCCCAAAAAACGTTGTCTTTGTCGCTTACTCCTGCCATTCATGTTCTAGCCGGAGCCCCGATTCCTGCGTGTGATGCCTGAGACGCCTGTAATTGGTTGGTTCGATTCAATGAAGATTAGTGGAGTCTATAACCAAAATGAAGAGTAAGTTGCCATTATGAGTTAAACAAAATTTTAACGATCATCAGACACGAGTGGCCAGTCATGAGTTGCTTAGCCATATGGAAACTGCGAAGAGTGTACAATTTTAAGTAGAGAGGAGAAAAGAACTTGCGGTCAAATTTTACTAATGAATCTGACTAATGAAATATATTCATTGAAAACTTGAACCCAAATAATTTTGATATTCCTGAGTGAAAATAATATATGACTTCCGGTAATATTATTTATTTCGTTCCTCACCCAATCATCAAATTCAGTTGTTCCTCCAGAAACTTATTCTGGGGAGTTCACGGAATCTTAAAGTCGTATGCCTAATATTTAGATATAACTTTTTATACCTAATACTTTTGTAATCTCTTTTGCAAATTATTTCATATGCCGTTAATATCTCTGTTCACATTTTTTGATAATGGGTTAGTGAGCCAAATAAATTTTTTTTCCGAAATTTCACGAGCGTAAATTGTACAGTTGGCTAGTTAATGTACCCGTCGGGACCGAAAAATTAATCAATCTCATTATTAAATATTGAAGTACAGTTTTCTTCATAAGCAATGAAAAAAATAATTTTGGATTTGTTTGTCCGATTTCAGAATTACTGAGAACGACAATTACGAAGATATTTATTTCCAAGTCCCCGTGTAACGTTTGAGTATAAAGCGTTTTGGCTGTTTGACAAACGCGCATTCACGCTTGGCTTTGAGGCCTTCACCAATGACTGTTGCAAGGTATGGCTTAATGTAGATCATATCTTTAACACTTCCAATGGCTTTGACAATTCAATAATTTCTAAAGTTCTAGTGCTTGAAAAATAAATGCAACGTTTTTACATGTTATAAAACAATGTTGAGAAATCTTGTGATGTTGACACGTTTGAAGATCGAATGCCGTCATTCGAGACTGAAACCATCGATATTCGAAATATCTTCTGCTCGACGTCACAGTTATAATAATTTTGTTTTCAAAGGCTAATAACGAAACACTAAATTGGTAAACTCCATTTACTGTATTACCCAAGATCATCAAAATGAAGGCGGGAGAAGTTGAAATTTTAAGGCCCTGATTGAAAGCCGAGAGGCTTCGAACAGGCTCGGCTCTTCCCTAAGCGTTTCTTCACTAATTAGGATAGACTTTACTCCACTCGCAAATGAGATGGCGATATGGATTATTTTCGTTTGAGGAACGAAAACAATCTAATTAGAGCTCGGAGTTTTAGGCTGTTTGCTTTTAACATTTCAAAAGCTCTATTTGATCTTTGGATTGTTTCTTCCTCGAATTTAATCGTAGCGATAAAGAAAAAGGAAGAAAGCGGCCTTTGGCAGCTTTTCTACCGTTGACCTTGAGTGGTGCCACAGCCAGCATGCGCAGTCTGCATGCCTTCAATCGTAGCACTGTCCGTGTAAAGAAGTTTGGGGAGGAGGTGGTCTCAGCACAGCCTAAAACTCCGAGCTCTAATTAGATTGTTTTCGTTCCTCAAACGAAAATAATTAGAGCAAACTCCGTTTTAGGCTGTT